GAATTTGATTTTTCTTTAAACATCTTAGCTTACATGTACTTTCTATTTTTTTAACAATAGATTAAAAATATAGTGTCCCCAATTTCTTGCATAGTGCTGACATCTAGCACCACACCATCTGGCAGCACACAGGGACCTCAATGTTTATAAGCAAAAGATGTGAGTAGGTAATTAGCCACAAAAGGAGAAACACAAATGGCCAGCAAGAGGAGGTACTTATTCTCATTACTAACTGGAAGTACGAATCAGAACATACAATTCCAGGGATGCCTGGGTGGCTCAGTTAAGTGGCTGCCTTCATCAGGTCACAATCTCAGGGTCCTGAGCTCGAGCCCTACGTTGGGCTCACTGCTCAGCAGGGAGTGTGCTTCTCCCTCTGCCCCTTCCTCCTCCTTGTGTGCACTTACTTTCTCTCTCTCAAATAAATAAATAAATAAAATCTTAAAAAAAAACCCACACATACGATTCTATGTTCAACTATTAAATTGGCAAAATTCTAAGAAATGACAATGTCTAGTGTTGGTAAGTGGATGGAGAAGTAGGCATTCTCATACACTGAGAGGGAAATATACTAGGATGTGAGCCTTCTGGAAGTCAACTTGGCAGTAATGTATTACTTTTTGAACATATTTATGTTTTCGTGTATACATTTAGAGCTGATTCAAATATCTGGCTCCTTCACATCAGCCTGTGATGGTGTAGTTCATTATGGACTTAAAACTTACGGAAGGCTGGAACTGTATCATTTTATCCAACTCTTTGACCAGATAGAGACTTCAGAAGTGCTTTGGAGGGTGATTATGGAAATGATAAAACAATTTATCATCCTGCATTTATAAGCAGTCACCAATCATTGACTGAGAGCCCACCCAGTGCTCAGTGCCTTGCTAGGTCCATGAGGGACTCAAGAAGAAAAAGGTGGGGTCCCTGTTCTCAGAGTTGAGCTAGAGTCAGGACAAAGCTCCATTACAGAATGGGGAAGTGTGCAGGTAAGCTCAATGGTGAAATGGAAGCTTAAGGGCTCAGCAATCAGCCTGCTCATAATCATCCGTGCAGAAGTAGCGAGGACCCCGGGGAGGAGGAGCCCACATCTCATTTCCACTGCTTGCTCTATCCTCCTCCTACACCCATGCTTTAATGAACGCTTATCACTTAGTACAGCTGGTGCATCCGAGCATGCCTTGTCTCCCTGTCAGGTAGTGAACTCTTTGAATGTGCACCCTAGGGCAGCCCAGATAGTTGATGAGGGAAAATATCCCCATGTAGAAATAGCCCGGATGATCAATGCAGAAGGAATGAGAGTTAGAATCTTGCCATCTTTCCAAACCTTAATAGAATAATGGGTGTAGGCATTGATTGCTGGTGGCAGCTAACATCATAAGGGACATCTAGTCATTAGATGCCCCCAATGGGAATATGAAATACCACCTACGAAATGTTCCTGCCAAAAAAACCCACACCAAAATAGAAACCAAAACCCAAATCAGATTGTGCCTCTAAATCTAACATTTGGGGGCATCTGCCTGGGTGGCTCAGTGATTGAACTTTAGCTCAGATCATGATCCTGGGGTCCTGGGATCAAGTCCCACATCAGTCTCCCCATGGGGAGCCTGCTTCTCCTTCTGCCTGTCTCTGCCTCTCTATGTCTCTCATGAATAAATAAATCTTTAAAAAAATAAATTTGACATTTGATTTCTGGAGGAAATCACGTTAAATAATACTGCAAGAATTCAAACAGAAACATTCAAAATGGGGGGAGCTCTTCAGAAAAACTTACCTTATTCTTCAACAAGTTACAAAGGAGAGATGGGGGGGAAGAGGAACCTCTAGGTGAAAAAAGAGACTTAAAAGGCATATCAGCCAAACACAATATGGGGACCCTGCTTGGATTCTGATTTAAACAAACCAATTATTTTTATATGTGTGATATAATCAGGGAAATTTACTAGTAAGGGAGATACTTGGCATTATTGGTAAATCTGTCAGGTGTAATAATGTTATTGTGATTTTGTAAGCCCTCCATCAAGTCACCACCCCACTTTTTAGAGGCATAAACTTCAATATTTACGGAAGGAAAAAAAAAAAAACAAAAAAGGCTGGTGGTAGAAAGGGAGATGAAAAAAATGAGTAGGTATGAATTCTCCCAAACCAGCAGATGTGATTGCAGGTTGACTGAGGAGTGTTCCATCCTCTTTCCCAGCCTTTCCCTTTGCAACAAGCTCAGACTAAAGCAGGCTGTGAGAATGTTAAACAAACAAAATATACCCTCAAGGAAAAGAAAACAGTAACAAGATGCAGTAAATCCATTAAGTGCAGATAACTGGAATCCACTTCAGACTGAGCCAGTGGCACAGCCAGGCCTCCTGTGGATGTGCCGTGGGCTCAGAGCACATTTCCTGCTTCAGGGATTGTGTTCTTTTGTGTGGCTTCTCTGAGCCTACTGACTGGATAAATATGTTGGTTCCTACCCAAACTCTGTTACTTAACTGGGGAATAATTACCTCCTTCTCCACATGCACCCTATTCCCTTCACACACATCCCTTATCATGCCATTATAATCACACACTGATGCAGATGTAAAAGGCACAAATGGAGCATTTGCTTGAGGACTCAAGAGTCTTGTGTCATTGCACACAAAGAATAAAGTGAGGAGGAGCCTGAACTGTCATCATAGAACTCACACTGGAACATGTACCCATTAAAGAACAATTGGGTGGATTTTTACAGCTAGAATTTTTTTCCCCCATTAGTTCTCATAGCAAACCAGGAAGAGTGGTAGTTACAGTTGCTGGATTTTCAAGCCAGAACCCTAAGATACAGAGCTATTGTTACCAGTCTAGAATTGTAAGTTTGTCTTATGAAATCATTAGTTTATTAATTCACAAACAAATACTTACTGTGTACCTGCTGTGTTAGCTTCTGAGAATGCTCTCATTACAAGGCAGACATGGTCTGTGCCCTTCCACATGGCTGGAGCTTCTCCTGGCAGAGGGCAGAATGAAAGGGAGTTAGCAGGGACCAGATAGTTTGTGCTTTGTAGGTTGTAGCATGAAGTTTGTATTTTATCTAATTGGATGGAAATCTGATGGAGGGTTTTAGGCAAAGGAGTGACATGATCCAATTTATGTTTGAAAAGATTGTACTGGCTGGTGTGTGGAAGATGGCCTGGGTTGGGGGGTCGGGGGGTGGAGGCTGGAGGCTGGAGGTCAATTAGAGGTTAAGAGCCCAGGACAGGAAAGGTGGTGAGTTGGAGTAGGAATGGATTCTGGATAAGGTAGAGTTGTCAGGATTTGCCAACAGATGGGCTGTTGGGGATGAGAAAAAAGAAAGGAAACCTCTAAACTTTTTGGCCTGAGCAGTTGGATGTTTGGTATTTCCATAGGGGAGAGTGGATGAAGAACAGGTTGAGGGAGAAATTTCCAATTCTATTTTGGATGGTTAAGTTTGAGATGTCAATCTGTCATCCCTGTGGAGATGAGGTGGCCTTTGGTTAGAGAGATCTGGAATTCTGGGGAGAGATCTGAGGCAGAAATACAGATTTGGGGGTAAAGATAGAGAAGACAAAGGGCCGGCCATAGGGCACTCTACATGGAAGAGGGGACAAGAGGAGCAAACAAATGTGGCAAATACCTTACATGCTCCAACTTGACTTCAGAATGTGCCACTAGCCAGTGAGGTAAGAAGAAAAACATGAGAGGATGAGGTCATGGCAGACAAGAGAAAAAGTCTGCCATGATGTAGAGAGTGGGCAGTGGGGTAAAAAATGATGCAGAGAGAACCAGTAAGACAGAAACAGAGAGGTGTCTGTTGGATTTGGGAACATAGAGGTCAACTGTGCAGGATCCAAGTGTGGAGCCCCCATGATGTGGTCTGAGTAGAGAAAGGCTGTGGTAAGAAAGTGGAGACCAAGCCTCTGGCCAATGCACAATGGTTTGCTGTGAAGGGGGAGAAAGAAATGGTGCAATAGCTAGAGGAAGACATCAGGTCAAGGCAGGAGGTGGGGTTTTAGTATTGAGTTGTTTGGGTTTTGGGATTTTAGAAATAAGAAATAATAGAACCATTCTGTATGCTCCATTTGTATGATCATCTACTCCGTTTAGGTACAAGACCAGCCATGAAAGTTGTATCATTTTTTTTCCCATAGGATTCCTTAACCATGTTATGAGTCCTCAAGGATTGAAAGTAACAGCATCTGAGCCCTGAGCCAGCCTTTCCTCTGTAGATTTTATTTTGTGCCCCGGCTTGTATTTTTAAGATTAAGTTTGGGGTGCTTGAGTGGCACAGTCTGTTAAGTGTCCGACTCTTGGTTTCAGCTCAGGCTGTGATCTCAGGGTCATGAGAAGGGGCCCCCTGTGGGCTCCACACTAAGTGTGGATTCTCTTCCCTCTCCCTCTGCCCCTTATACCCTGTGCTCTCTCTCTCTCTCAAATTAATAAATAAATCTTTTTTTTTTTAAGTACTAAGTTCATTGCTCTTTTAGAATTGACTCCCAGGGGAAAGACTGCCTCTCTTAAAAATTTACTATGATTATTTTCATGAGAAAACAAGAATATTTGACCCATCATGGTTTCCTCTTCTTCTTTTGCTACAAGAAATCAAAGAAATAAATGTCATGCTTAATCATGAGAACTCACAGTTTTGGTTTTGCAGATTTACATTTTCTATTTTTACATATTTGTGTTGATTATACCTTTACTTTTGTTTCTTTTTTAATTAATTTTTTAAATCTGGAAGTAATGGCAAATTCATATGTAGTTGTAAGAAATTATACAGAGAGATCCTGTTAATTTTTTTTTAAAGATTTTATTTATTTATTCATGAGAGACACCCAGAGAGGGAGGCAGAGACACAGGCAGAGGTAGAAGCAGGCTCCATGCAGGTATCCTGACATGGCACTCCATCTCAGGTCTCCAGGATCAGGCCCTGGACCAAAGGTGGCGCTAAACCGCTGAGCCACCCGGGCTGCCCCAATTTTCTGAAAATTCATCTGCTGCAGGTATCAATAATTTATTCCTTTTTATTGATGAGTAGTATTCTGAGATGTAGATGTAACATAGTTTATTTTTTTTCATAGTTTATTTTTTTTTAAGATTTTATTTATTTTAGAGAGAGAAAGAGAGCAGAGGGTAGAAGCAAAGGGAGAGAGACAAACAGACTCTGCTGAGCACAAAGCCTGACACAGGGCTCTGTCTCACAACCCTAAGATCATGACCTGAGACAAAATCCAGTCAGATGATTAACCAACTGAGCCACCCAACTGCCCCACACTTTGTTTAATTCCTTTGAAGGACATCTGGGTCATTTCCAGTTTGGAGGCCATTACCAATAACGCTGCTATAAACATTCATGTACAGATTTTTTTTTTCATGCACAGATTTTTGTGTGAACATCTGTTTTCATTTCTCTGAGCTTATATCTTTTACAGTGAATTGTAGTAGGTCTTTTCTGTGGATGAATGGTACATAATCATCAAAAAACAAAGATGATCTACTTTCTTCTTTGTCTTGTGATTGTTATTAGCATGCTATTACCCCTCATCTTCACAGCTTCCCAGTCTCTGAATACTCTTGTGGCCTGGAAAAAAAGCAGATGAAATTTAGAAGAGTTACATAGTTTGTTTGCAGGTCAAGTGGAACCTGAATTCTGGTATATGTTCTCAACTCTTGGCTTTTACACAAAAACCACTACAATTTTTAAGATGTAGTTTATTTATTTATTTATTTTTTTGCTCTTCTCTCCCAGATCCTGGACTATAGCAACCATGTTGTTTTCAAGTTGCTTGCTTAGGAAAGGCTCAGAGATGTGGTTGGGCATTCTCTCAAGTGGGTAGGCAATCAAAACAAAAGTTCTAACAGAAATGGAAGTACAGTTGACCCCAAGACCTATTTCAATCTTGACATAACACTTGAAAATAAGATAATCACTTCATGAAACCATGGTAAACGAACCTCTGCTAGTAAGAATGCTCAATTCAGAGAAAGAGACAGAATGACTCCACCATGAAACCCAAGCCATACATCTCTGTGGAAGCCACATCTTCCATCAATGGAGGAATAAAGGATGGGAAAGTGTGTGTACCTGTTCATTTTCAAGGATCTAAAGTGACACATATAACCACAACACTTTGAAACTTGAAGTCAACCACAAGAAAAAATCGGGAAAGACCACAAATACATGATAGTTAAAGAATATCCTACTGAAGAATGAATGGGTTAACCAGGAAAATAAAGAAGAAATTTAAAAAAATACATGGAAGCAAATGAAAATGAAAGCAAGCAGTCTAAAACCTTTGGGATGCAGCAAAGGTGGTCCTAAGAGGAAAGGATATTGCAATACAGGCCTATCTCAAGAAGCAAGAAAAGTCTCAAATACATAGCTTAACCTTCGCCTAAACAAGCTAGAAAAGGAACAGCAAATAAAGCCTAAAGCCAGCAGAAGAAGGGAAATAATAAACAGTAGAGCAGAAGTAAATGATACAGAAACAAACAAATACAAAAACCCCAGTGGAACAAATAAATGAAACTAGGAGCTGGTTCTTTGAAAGAATTAATAAAATTAATAAACTCCTAGCAGACTTATCAAAAAGAAAAGAGAGACGACTCAAATAAATAAAATCATGAATGAAAGAGAAAAGATCATATCCAACACTACAGAAATACAAACAATTATAAGAGAGAATTATGGAAAATTGTATGCCAACTAACTGGGCAATCTGGAAGAAATGGACAGATTCCTAGAAACATACATTACCAAACTGAAACAGGAAGAAATAGAAAATTTGGACAGACCCGAAACCAGCAAGGAAATTGAATCAGTAATTAAAATCTCCCAACAAACAAAAGTCCAGGGCCAGAAGTCTTCCCAGCTGAATTCTACCGGACATTTAAAGAAGAGTTAATATCTACTCTTCTCAAACTGTTCCAAAAAATAGAAATAGAAGGAAAACTTTCAAACTCATTCTATGAGGCCAGGATTACCTTGATTTCAAAACCAAAGACCCCACTAAAAAGGAGAATTAACAGGTTGATATCCCTGATGAATATGGATGCAAAAATTCTCAAGAAGATACTAGCAAATCTAATCCAACAGTACATTAAAAGAATTATTCTCGGGACGCCAGGGTGGCTCAGTGATTGAGCGTCTGCCTTTGGCTCAGGTCGTGATCCCAGTGTCCTGGGATCAAGTCCCACATCAGGCTCCTCGCAAGAAGCCTGCCTCTCCCTCTGCCTATGTCTCTGCTTCTCTCTCCGTGTCTCTCATGAATAAACAAATAAAATCTTTAAAAAAAATAAAAGATAAAATAGTTATTCTCCATAATCAAATGGTACTTATTCCTGAGCTGCAGAGGTGTTTCAATATTGGCAAATCAATCAATGTGATACACAGTATTGATAAAAGAAAAGATGAGAACAATATATTCTTCTTAATAGATGCAGAGAAAGCATTTGACAAAATAAAGCACCTATTCTTGATGAAAACCCTCAACAAAGTATGTATAGATGGAACATACCTCAACATCATAAAGGCCATATATGAAAGACCCACAGCTAATATCATCTTCAATGGGGAACAACCGAGAGCTTCTCCTTTATGGCCAAGAAAAAGTCAGAGGTGTCCACTCTCACCATTACTATTTAACATAGTAGGAAGTCAGCCTCAGCAATCAGACAACAACAACAAAAAAATAAAAGGCATCCAAATCAGCAAGGAAGAAGTCAAACTTTCACAACTTATAGACAACATGATACTCTATGTAGAATACCCAAAAAACTCCACAAAAAAAAAAATGCTAGAACTAATACATGAATTCAGCAAAGTTACAAGATATAAAATTAATGTACAGAAATCTGTTGCATTTCTACATACCAACAATGAAGCAGCAAAAAAATAAATCAAGGAATTGATCCCATTTACAATTGCTTCAAAAAAAATATATGATACCTAGTAATAAACCTAACCAAAGAGGTAAAAGATCTGTATTCTGAAAACTATAGAACATTTATGAAAAAAATTGAAGAGAACACAAAGAATTGAAGAGGACACAAAAACATTCCATGCTCATGGTTCGGAAGAATAAACATTGTAAAAACGTCTACACTACCCAAAGCCATCTATACATTTAATGAAATCCCTATCAAAATGCCACCAGCATTTTTCACAGAGCTAGGACAAGTAATTCTAAAATTTCTATTGAACCACAAAAGACCCTGAATAGCCAAAGCAATGCTGAAAAAGAAAAATCAAATCTAGAAACATCACAATCCCAGACTTCAAACTGTATTACAATGCTGTGATCATCAAGACAGTATGGTACTGGCACAAAAACTGACACATAGATCAATGGAACAGAATAGAGAACCCAGAAGTGGACCTACAACTCTCTGGTCAACTAATCTTTGACAAAGCAGGAAAGAATATTTGGTGGAAAAAGACCGTCTCTTCAACAAATGATGTTGGAAAAACTGGACAGCAACATGCAGAAGAATGAAACTGGACCACTTTTTTACACCATACACAAAAGTAAATTCAAAATGGGTGAAACACCTCAATGTGAGACAGGAATCTATCAAAATCCCAGAGGACAACACATGTAGAAACCTCTTTGACCTCAGCTGTAGCAATTTCTTATTAGACGTGTTGCCAGAGGCAAGGGAAACAGAAGCCAAAATGATCTACTAGGACTTCATCAAGATAGAAATCTGCACAGCAAAGGAAACAATCAACAAAACTAAAATGCAATCTGTGGAATGGGAGAAGATATTTGCAAATAACATATCTGATAAAAGGCTAGTATCCAAAATCTATAAAGAATTTATCAAACTCTACACCCAAAAAACAAATAATCCAGTTGAGAAATGGGCAGAAGATATGAATAGATGTTCAACATCACTTATCACCAGCGAAATACACATCAAAACTACAATGAGATATCATCTCACGCCTGTCAGAATGGCTAAAATTAACAACACGGGAAACAACAAGTATTGGTGAGGATATGGAGAAGGGGGAGTCTTCTTACATTGTTGTTGGGAATGCAAACTGGTGCAGCTACTCTGGAAAAAGTATGGAGGTTCCTCAAAAAGTTAAAAACAGAATTACCCCATGATCCAGCAATTGTATTGCTCAGTATTTACCCAAAGGATATAAAAATACAGACTTGAAGAGGTACCTGCACCCCAATATTTATACCAGCATTAGCAACAGTAGCTGTGTACCCTTTCGAATCTAAATAATCATGAGATGATGTACCAAGTGCTCTTCCAAAGTTTGCAAGCAGCAGGGATGACAGCAACAGCCTCCAGTGAGGAGGGGTGGCAGCGGCAGGGAGCATGTTGGACTGGTTCAGCAGTGTGGCCTTGCCTGTAGTTGTGGCTAGTTGTCTCCTTCGCCTTTATTCTTGTCTGTTTTCCAAGCTTTCCTGATAATTCTACCCAATAAGCTCCCAGTAAATTATCTATCTGTGTAAGTCAACCAGTGTTGATGGATAGGCCACTAGTCTCAGATTCTCAGGAAAACTTCCAGAATTGTTTTATGTATGTAAATGCAGGACTAAGCCTCATCTGGTGTAGACATGTTGAAATACTTCCATGACAGTCCGTAGACACTGCCTCTACCCCCATGGGATCCCAGACTCCCTGATTTCCTCCTCTCATACCCTGTCCCCTATAATCATCTCAAGGGGTTACACCAGGCACAGGTGCTCTGTGGCATTCTTTCTGATTGACAGGTGCCTCTGGTGAAGCGCCTAATTGTATATAGTATACACATATAAGTGGATGTCTGTATGCATGTGTACATATATACTCATGATAAGTTCATCTCATTGGGAACTTACTATGCATTCTGTGTGCCTAATGTGAGATTTTTCCATATCACATGTAGTTTTTTAGCATATGTAGTCCTCCCTTTTCAAATGGCTATTTGGTGTTCCATTGCATGGATTTAACCATAAATAATTTAATTAACTTGGAGAGGTTTCAAAAGATAGAGATGCCCTACCTCCATTTCTTAACACCCAATTCCAGATGAAGATTCAGGAAGTCTAGGGAGGGGCTGACCATATGAAAGTTCCAAACTTTCCAGGTGGTTCTGATTATCAGCCGGGTCTGGGATTCTTTAGCATAGGCAATGCATCAGTTCACCCTACAAATATGAGAGCACACGAGAAGCCATGAAACTTCCTTTTAAAAAAAAAAAAAATTGTCTGTCTTCTCCTTTCTAGGACACAAGATATAAAATAAACAATATAAAAATCTGTGTTTAAAGACTTCCAATACTTTAGGTCATAGTTGCCCTGGCTTGCTACCAGATTGTAAATTTGCTCTGCTTAGCAATAACTAAAAGGAATGCCAGTCTAGAAGCAAGATGAGGGGCAGAGCCCTCTCAGTAAGTTCCAGATATCCAGGCCAAGCTTTTGCTTCCAAAGAACATTGCTGTCCCTCCTGTATTTAGAATAAATTCAACTTGGATTGTCCTCCAGGAACTGAGTAGTGGCCAAACACCAGTATTTCTTCAGATTTGGAAATGAGCTTTGATTGTTTCTTCATAAGTTAGCATAACGCTTAGATAATCATTGCAGTTCTTGGAAAAGATTAAATGTGAACTCAGTTCAACACTCCCAGACTATCTGGAAACCAGAAAAGTATATTTATGGGAAAAGAGGCTTATATAAATACTTTCTTCAGTGACCCACATGATAGAGTTGAGAATAAGTATCTTGCTTTTGGTGGATGATACCAAATTAGGTGGAGTTGCCAACATCCCAACAGTGAGAACTCAACTCAATATGACCCTTTTAGACTGGCCTTGACAAATTTTTAAAAAATGATCCACATCACAAATACAAGATGAAAAATGGCTCACAGCCCTATAGTAAAAAAAATAAAATGTTACAAAGTTTTCAAAGTTAACAACTGTGTCACAACTACAAACACAGTTAACTACTGTGTCACAACTGTAGTTTGCAAGAGGGAAACTATTGGGAAAACAAAAGAACATGATGCTGGAATGTTAATGAGGAAACAATAAGCAAAACTCCTGAATACTTTCCCACATTTGGCCTTGGTTAGGCCTTAGCTAGACAATGCTCCTATCCAGTTAGGGTCTTCATAATTTGGGAAGAATTATCTAAAAGAAATCAAGTGTGCCCTAAAAAACATGAGTGACTAACATGACAGAGGGTGGGGGTGAGGGGGAATCTCTGGGAGAAATTTTAAACTAAATGGAATTATTTAAACAAATCAGAAATAAAACTCAGACACAGCCTAAAAATTCTCTTCTGATATTCATGGTGTGATTATAAAGAGACTGTTGAATATATTTTTCTCTCTCCTACAGAAGATACAACTGGAGGTCAAGAGGTAAATATGTAATAATTCAGATTAAGCTAGATCTCTTGATGGGTCTGCTCAAAGCCAATTAGTGTGCTGGTGTGTAATACCTGGAATGTACAGAGCATGGACTTGAGCCACACTGCCCAGGGTTCAGACCCCAGCTCCACCACTTACTCTCTGTGAGGCTTTGGGTAGGTTACTTCCTTTCATGCTGCTTCAGTTTTCCATATGAGAAATGGGGAGGCCCATAGTGTCTGCCTCATAACGTTGTAGGGAGGATAGTATGAAGTGTTGTATGCAAAGCCCTGAGAAGAATGTGAGTATTGGCTATTGATGGTAAAACTTCCAGAACAGGCTCCAGGAGGTGATTCTTGAGTCTATTCCTAAGCATTTAGAAGACTATATTGGGACACCTGGATGGCTCAGTTGGTTGGGAATCTGCCTGGCTCAGGTCATGATCTCTGGGTCCTGGGATTGAGCCCTCCTGTGTCAGGCTCCCTGCTCAGCAGGAAGTCTGCTTCTCCCCTCTCCCTTTGCCCCTCCCTCCACTCATTTTCTCTCTTTCTCTTTTTTAAAGATTTTGTTTATTTATTCGTGAGAGACACAAAGAGAGAGAGAGAGAGAGACAGAGAGAGAGAGAGAGAGAGAGAGGCAGAGACACAGGCAGAGGGAGAAGCAGGCCCCATGCAGGGAGCCCAATGTGGGACTCGATCCCGGGATTCCAGGATCATGCTCTGAACCAAAGGCAGACGCTAAACCACTGAGCCACCCAGGGATCCCTTCTCTCTCTCTCTTTCAAATAAGTAAATAAAGGATCCCTGGGTGGCGCAGCGGTTTGGCACCTGCCTTTGGCCCAGGGCACGATCCTGGAGACCCGGGATCGAATCCCACATCGGGCTCCCGGTGCATGGAGCCTGCTTCTCCCTCTGCCTATGTCTCTGCCTCTCTCTCTTTCTCTCTCTGTGACTATCATAAATAAATAAAAATTTAAAAAAACAAATAAGTAAATAAAAGTCTTTAAAAGAAATAAAATACTATCTCAAACTAATGATTAAATCTGTAGTGCTAATTCAACTCTGTGAACATGTGAACATGGTGTCTACACTAAACATGTCATACAATATTTTAGTCATAATTTCAAAATTGCCTCATTCTATCACATTCTTTTCTTAAAGATTTAATTAATTTATTTGAGAGAGAGAGATTGAGACAGTGGGAGTGAGGGGAGGGGCAGAGGGAGAAAGAATCCCAAGCTGACTCCATGCTGAGTGCAGAGCCTGATGTAGGACTCAAGATTCCATGACTCTGAGATCATGACCTGAGCCGAAATCAAGAGTCAGACATCAGTCACTTAGGCACCCCTCTGTCACATTCTTATAACACAAAATTATAAATCTTGTGTACTCAGCTGAGTCTGCCTTATGCACAATATACATATTCAATCACATATTCAATCAGAATTGCAAGCCTGGACATACTTATGAGAATATTTGCTCCTTAGCCTTTGATATTGCAGAGAAATAATCAAATAATCTTCATAACAAATCATGAAATATATTCATCCCTGAATTTTGTGTCAGTGAGCTTGTTCAATTCAATTAAAATAAATTCCATTTAGTTAAATAGGCATTATTGGGGACCTGTGCTAGGTCCTTAGAAAGACTAATAATACTTGTCTCCTTAGACTTTAGAGACTGCATGGTCTACCAAGAAAAGGAAGAAACAAAAATAGTTCATTTTATTTTATTTTTAAAGGATTTATTTATTTATTTGAGAGAGAGAGAGAGATAGCAAGAGAGAGCACAAGCAGGGAGGAGAGGGAGAAGCAGGCTCCCCACTGCATTGGGAGCCCAACTTGGGGCTCTGTCTTGCATCCCTGGGATCATGACTCAAGCTGAAGACAGACACTTAACCGACTGAGCCACCCAGGTGCCCCCTAAATAGTTCATTTTCATATCATGTGATGGATGGTACATTTCAGGTGCCAGCTGCCATGGAAGCATAGAGCCTGACTGGTGATTATAGCCTGGGAATCACCAAGGGTCACAGAAGCCCAGACACTGAAGTGAATTTTGAAGAAAGTGGAGGTGAGAGCATTTCTTGAGGTGAAGCTGAAAGGAGATCTAGGAATGACGGCTCCTGTCAGGCCCAGGGACTGGCACTCAGTATGTAGAGTGAGGAGCACAGTGGTGTGGGGAAGAGGAGGCATGCTGAGAGGAGAGAAACTGTTGACTCCAGGGATTGACAGCATTGAGTGATGCTTCCTGCCTCTGCTAGAGCCCTAGCCTGCCCTGGTGTCTATCAGTGACCGATGGTGGGAATAGATGAGGTGGCCTCTCCCAGTTCCTCTCCTGCCCTCTGTGTTGGGGAGAAATTCATGTAACTTGTAGGGACTCCATCTTCCAAGTAGAGAAAAAAAATCCACATTTCATCAATGTGGTTTTAGGAAAGCAATGCACCTCTTTATATATCAGGAAGAGTTGAACAAGCACTAGATTTAGAGTTATGTTCTAGGCCTGGGTTCAAATCCCAGCTCTGAGGGCACCTGACTGGCTTAGTCAGTAGAGCATGTGACTATTGATCTCAGGGTTGTGAGTTTGAGCCACATGTCTTTTTTTTTTTTTTTAAAGGGAAGCATTCATTCAGCTTATTTCTATATTCCAAATTGGTACAAGTATGGTGGGAATATTCAAGAAGGTCCCTGCCCATGTCATTACGAAGTTTTCCATGACAGGACCGATAGGAAGAAATAGTAAGAAGAGAGGATGGGGTGTCCCTGCAGATCCAGGCCAAGAGTAGGTTAGGGGGCCTCTTTCAAGGTCTTTTCAGATAGCAGGGTTGTTTTTTCACTGATGTTTTCCTAAATAATAAGAAGCCAGCCCTGTTATAAATCAGTCCCTCCTAGGGTTACAAGGAGGGTGGCCTGGGTGCCACTACCAGGCCAGTCCCCACCCAGCAAGCTCAGATCCTGAGGAGACAAGGCTGCATATATGTTCCTAAGCACCAGCTCGTCTCTGGACATGGCCAATGGGCCCAGCACCACTAACAGGAAGTCTTTATTTTCAAGGCCGGGCAGGGAAGAGGCAGCTGGACAAGAAGTGTTCAGTGCTTTGCTATGGTACGAGGTCAAGTCTTTTTTCAAAGCAAATGACAGATCATCCTTTGTCCATCCATAGCTAAGTGACACCCGAGGTCCCAGAAGGAATAGTTGGTGCCCATCATGAGATGCCAGGCCCTCATCACATGCTTGTGTCAGACTCTAAAATGAGAGGCGATGAGCTGGCCCTGCGGTCCTGCCCCTGACCCCTGGCCAACGACTCTACTTTCACCCTGTACTCTGCTTTGGTGTCTGGTTTCACAGATGCCAAATAAAAACCTCATTGATTCAGCATTTGGGATCACTGGAGCTGAACAAATAGAAGTTTTCCTTTGCAGTACCTTTAGTGAAGGGTTTGATTAAATGAACAAGGTAAAAAGTTATTAGAGAAAAGGGGGATTTAACCCAATTACAATAATAAATGTATTAAGAAGACTTTCAGTAGGGTTGTATTAGCCCTTGTTGGCAGATGGGTTTCATAGTTTGACCCATCTCCATTTGGCTGGCATGATGCTATATTTGAGTTTATTTAAAACAGTGCTATGCTTGGGGCACCTTGGTGGTACAGTCAGTTAAGCATCCGACTCTTGGTTTCAGCTCAGGTCATGATCCCAGGGTCATGACCTCAGGGTCGTGAGATCAAGCCCCACATTGGGCTCCGTGCTCAGCATGGAGTCTGCTTAAGATTCTCACTCCCTCTTCCTCTGCCCCTC